GCCGCCTCCAGTCCTGCCGGCTCCTGTCCAGTTGTCTCTCCAGCCGGCTCTCCTGAAACCCCCTGCCTTGTGTCTCCTGCGGGATCATCCATGGGTCATCCCTCCTGCCCCTCCCTGGTGGTCCTTCCCACTGTTTGGGACTGATTCCCCGGCTGCACCCTGGCTTCCTGCTGGAGCGCCTGACCCACGGACCTACCCTGGTCTGACCCTCCCATCCCTCCCCTTGTTCCTGCTCCGCTCCACTCATTAAATGATTACTAAAGAGCTGTTTATATTCCTTTATTCCAGAAAGGGAAACAATAAATGTATATATATATATATATATATATATATATATATATATATATATATATATATATATATATATATATATATATATATATATATATATATATATATATATATATATATATATATATATATATATAAAAAATTATAATCATAAATTATAAATAAATATAAATCAATTATAAATAGTCCAAATCCAACACAATTCCAGAAAATAATTCAACACACATCACGTGGTGATTGATGAGTTTAGTGTACAAATGTCAGTGGTCAGTCAGTGCAGATGTGGATGTCTAAGGAGATAATGCATATGTGGAAACCTGTGGAATCAGTGTAGATGTTTATTCATTGATTTAAGACAGTGCAGATGTAAACGTCTGTGGAGTCAGCGCAGATGTGGACGTCTTGAGGAGTCAGAGCAGATGTTTTATGCCCACTAAGACTGAGTGATCAACCTGTAAGGATAAATCGAAGAAACAAATGAAAAATTGTTCTGATAAATTTAATATTTGTATTCCACATATCTCTCGTGTCCAAGTATCATTGTCTTTTGTTAACATTAATTTATTATACATATAATAATTATTGCAATAATGCCTAAACAAATTATATTGCGCAGGTAACCTGCAAACTGCCCCGTTACTTTTCAAAACAAAGACTTTAACATTGTATTAAGTGTTACTAACATTTGTAAACTCTTTACTAACATGGTTTATCACTTAGTAACTAAGCATTTTTTAAGGAAATCAGAAACCTGTTTATGACGTGTGCACCTCTCCAACGTTAACTCTTTACTAACATAATTGTTCTTAATATATCTATATATATTTTGAGGTCCAGGTAAATCATTGATCACTGCTTTATTATAAACTTAAAGTAAAAACCCAAAGTTAGTAACACATCAGTAATAATGTTGGGTTAGTGGTAAGTCAGTTTACAAATGTAACGTGTTGAAGTAGTGAACACTTTACAACAATGTTACTAATTCCCTTAAGTAATGCTTTGCTAGAGATAAATCATGTTAGTAAAAAGTCTACAAACATGAATAACTTGCCTGTTGAAGAATGTGAGTTGTTCAGTATTTGCTGCATTCTGTCTCGCATGTCTAATGTGGTCGAGGCCATTGATGAACCAGAACGCATCCCTTAACGCATCAGTGTTGTTCAGCAGAATTAGGAGTTCATGACGAGCCGCTGCTGTTGGTAAGATCTGTACATGTGGCAGACACCTCTAGTATGAGTTGTTGCAAACGTAAGGTTGTCTGGTTAGATCGTAAGTTAACAAGAGATTCAGCATCACGTGAATGGTACAGGGCTCAACATTCACATGCTGCAGACTGGAATGGGAACATGGTGAGCTCCACTAAACTAATCAAAGATGCCTCGATTATCAGCAACATTATCTGCTTGTGGGGATTGAGCTGCCTCGTTGTCAACGTGTCAGGACGCAGGTTAGTCCAGGCAGTTTCGATCTGACGAGCATGAGGGAGAGCTTCACGTAGCTCCTGCACAATATGACCCATATGCTCAGCAAGGTCATCACTTTGCCTTCCCCATCCAGGTCGCTGTCCCCGAGGGTTTGGTCTAGCTGGACTGTGAGCCCTGTCCGCAGCTGCTGCTCTGCCTCCAGAGTTTCAGCCATTTGTCTCAGAATATTTCTCGCTAAGATACACACCAAACTTTGAAAACAATGTATTCGTAAATATGAGTTGGATTTTATCTCGCTCTCTCGGGCTGTGGACCTTTCACCTGCTTTCGTGAGGTAATTTCCTCTCCTCTCAGCTGTTACTACGATACTTATGGATACAGACACAAGCTTGTCTGCAGAGCAAGTTTTGTCCTCCTTTTGCGTGTCTATCATGGATCAGCTGTAATCGCCGCTGTGTTTATCATTGTCAATCATTGGTGAACCGTGCAAGACCATTAGAGCCAATCACAGCTCTTTCTGTTACTGACATGTGATAGCCACACAGATCCATGCACAATACCTTATTGATCCAGCTCTAGTGGCCAAAAATATAGATGGTTAAAAACCCATTACCCAAAACACTGGAGCACAGTAGTTCCGAAGCAGAAGAAGCTGTTGGGGAGTTGAGTTCCTCCATTTACAATATAACTTTCCTCTGGGGGTCCAGTCCAGCCAGACTCAGACACAAAGATGGGATAAGACCAGCCTAAAACTATTCTTCCTTTCACTCTTTATTCCATTGAGTCTAGTTAAATTTTGTTTTTGTAACCCTTGCCACCTTTTTAAACTACCACTTTTTAAACTACCTCTCTTACGTGGGAATCCAGCTCCACAGAGGAATTTCACCTCAGAACTTTGGACCATAAGTCCATCTCCAGACAAATAATTTAAATGGTGTACGATCTGCTAATCATGTTAATTGACAGATAACCATGTCTAAAATCAATAAAGGTTGAATGCCATAATCTTCCTAACATAATTATGTTATGCCCTACATCATTGTAAATTACATAAGCTACAGTTCCTATTACCCTCACATGCTCTGCTGTATATACAGTATGTTGTTCCATGTGCCATCTGTTGGAATTTATGGAAAGCACAACACATGCAAAAATCTGCATTGCTAATGACCAAGTCTGTTATTTATTAGAGTAAATAGATGAAAAATATAATCCCTAGCTATTCCTTTAAAGACTCCTCCTAGACCCCCCACCCCCCCCCCCCCCACACACACACACACAATGTCTCTCTCTCTCTCTCTCTCAGAGAAAGGAGAAGAGATAGAGCAGCTTTATTCAAATCTAGCTAATCTAACACACAACTCTGTCACATACTTAAGTTCAGCCCTAAGTAACAATTTGCTACATTTTCAATCTTTGTTAAACAAACTATGTCAGCTAATTCACTTTTCATGGTCAGCTTAACCTTTAGAATGATTCTCTATTTTTACACTATTCTTTTTTTACGCTGCTTTCAAGCAAAGACAGAAAACGCATTTTGCCAAATAATAGGAGAGGCTAAATACCCACTACTTTCAAAGGATGGAGACGTAACTATTGGGGGAATTTTTGCAATCCACAGTAAAGAAACATTACCTTCATTTGAGTTTCAACAAAAACCTCAGCCACTATTATGCTCAAGGTTTGTTACATTGGAAAGCAGATAATATACTTAAAGTAGGCAGATGTTTAAAATTAAATGCAAAGTATTATCTACACCGATTTGAATAATGTTTTACAGTGTGAATCTAAGAGATTTTCGGCTGGCACAAATAATGATCTTTGCTATTGAGGAAATTAACAAAAGTGAAAATTTGCTGCCAAATGTTTCTATTGGCTACCGAATATTTGATACCTGTGGTTCAAGACTGTCATCTATGAGTGCAACAATGGGACTAATGAATGAACTGAAATTTGCAGCAGGGGAGACATGCAATGGACAGTCTCCCATACATGCTATCATTGGAGAAACAGAGTCTTCAGCCACAGTGATTCTGTCCAGAACTACAGGACCTTTTAAAATTCCAGTGGTAAGAAGTAGTAACACCATAACTTTGTTAGAATCACCATACTGGTGAGTGTTGCACCATTTTCATTTTTTTTTCTTCGCTCTTTTCTTCAGATAAGTCATTCAGCATCATGTGAATGTCTCAGCAACAGGAATGATTACCCATCATTTTTCAGGACTATTTCTAGTGATTACCACCAGGGAAGAGCACTTGCATACATAGTCAAGTACTTAGGCTGGTCTTGGGTGGGAGCTGTGAACAGTGACAATGACTATGGAAATTATGGAATGGCCATATTTCTCGAAACAGCCCAGAAAGAGGGAATTTGCGTGGAGTATTCTGTAAAATTCTACAGAACAGAGACAGAAAAACTAAAAAGAGTGGTAGACACAATTAAAAAAAGCACTGCAAAAGTGATTGTTGCATTTGTTTCATTTATTGAGATGGGCTTATTAATTGAACAGCTAAGTATTCAGAATATTACAGGATTCCAAATAATTGGAGTAGAGGGATGGATAACTTCAAAGAACTACATAACCACAAACAGCTTTCATTCAATGGGAGGTTCACTGGGATTGGCATTGAGAAAAATCCATTTGGAAGGGTTTTTAGATTATGTAACTAAATCGTTTTGGAGCACAGCATTCCCATGCTCACAGACTGAGGGGATTTTGCCTACTGTAGGTTGCAGCAAATATAAGGATCTACTTCCACTGAAAAACTACACTGAAGATGTGCCTGAACACAGATATTCAAGCCATGTTTATAAAGCAATTTATGCAGTAGCTCATTCACTACATAGTCTGCTCAAATGCAAGGAAGGAGAAGATTGTGAGAAAGGCCACGCAACACAACCACAGCAGGTTAAATATAAACCACAACCTAATTTTATAATATATATATATATATATATATATATATATATATATATATATATATATATATATATATATACACATACTTGATATTGTATGGATAAATTGTGTTTTTCTTTTCCCAATAGGTGGTTGAGGCTCTAAAAAAAGTTAATTTCACTGTAAAGTTTGGAGATCGTGTGTGGTTTGACCGTACTGGTGCCACAGTAGCCCATTATGAGGTTGTGAACTGGCAGCAGGACACTGATGGATCATTCCAGTTTAAACAAGTAGGATACTATGATGCCTCACTGCCTCCTGACCAGCGCTTTGTTCTCAACATTGAAAGCATCATCTGGCCTGGAGGAAATTTGGAGGTATTTAAATTTTTTGTAACACACTGTGTTTAAAAGTGGCAATTGTCTGCTCCCTTATAAATACTGGGCTGTATAAGATTCCCCACAAGTAGCAAAATACACATGGATTTGTTGACTATAAGCTGACAGAACCAGCAAAATCAGAAACTCTTTATGAAACCATATTCACCAAGCAGGTAAAGTAGCCTCTTACACAAAATGTTCTATAGTACACCAGGCATACAAGGCAGTAAATGAACAGACTTTTTATTTGAATAATTGTTCAGAAATTATACAGTCAAGGGTTGTTGTTGCAGGTCAAAAAAATGTCAAGAGTTGTGAATGTTGACTTTTCACAAAGCTGCAAAACCTATTAAAAAACACAACACTTTAAAAACTATTCAAATATATTTTTTTATATAAATGGGTAGCTGCATTTTTATATTCAAAATAAATTAGAGGATTACGCTACTGCGTAAATCCTTTGGTGGACCTTTTAATTGAAAAACTATTGTTAGTCATATGGCCTGTTGGACTTTTTTGCATTTTTGAGATATATAATAAACAAACTTTAGATTGTTCAGGGACTGGAATACTCCACTAAATTTCTGCATATGTAATCTACATAACAGTACTTTATAAATGAATTTGCACATAAGCCCTACTTACAATGGAATTCATGAACATACTCATTTAACTAAATTAAATTTTAAAAATGTTCATAAAATACTAATGAATTCACAGGGGAGTTTTTGGGTTATTAATTTTAAGTTATATTTTATGTGCAAAGTACTCACAATGTACTAAAGTATATACAAAAATAATAAATTTATGAGAAATGCATGAGGTTCAATGTTTTTAAATGCATGTATTTTTAACACATGAAGAAACCAAGGTCTGTGTGCAGCGAAAGCTGTTCTCCAGGCACCAGAAAGGCTGCTCAGAAAGGAAGACCTGTCTGCTGTTATGACTGTGTTCCATGTGCAGATGGAGAAATTAGTAATGAGACAGGTAATTATCACCTCATATCATCAACCGATTAGTTGTACATTTTGTTTTCTTCTTTCTCTCTCTTTCTCTCTCTGATCATGACTTTCATTCCAGATTCGGTTAACTGCAAGCAGTGTCCAAGGGAATACTGGTCTAATGGTGAAAAAAATAAATGTGTGTTAAAAGCTATAGAGTTTTTGTCATTCACAGAAATTATGGGTATTGTGTTGGTCTGTTTTTCACTGTTTGGAGTAGGATTAACTGCAGTCGTGGCCATTCTGTTTTGGAGCAAAATGGACACTCCCATTGTAAAAGCCAACAACTCAGAGCTAAGCTTCCTGCTGCTCTTCTCACTGACTCTTTGTTTCCTATGTTCACTTACGTTTATTGGTCGGCCCACTGAGTGGTCCTGTATGTTGCGTCATACTGCCTTTGGGATCACTTTTGTCCTTTGCATCTCCTGTGTTTTAGGGAAAACAATAGTGGTGTTAATGGTTTTCAAGGCTACACTTCCAGGAAGTAATGTCATGAAATGGTTTGGGCCTACACAACAACGACTCAGTGTTCTTGCTTTTACATTTATACAGGTACTTATATGTGTGCTTTGGCTTACAATATCACCACCATTTCCTAACAAAAATATGACATATTATAAAGAAAAGATTATTATTGAGTGCAGTCTTGGTTCTACTATAAGTTTCTGGGCTGTTCTTGGTTACATTGGCCTGCTAGCTGTCTTGTGCTTCATTTTGGCTTTTTTGGCTCGCAAACTACCAGATAACTTCAATGAAGCCAAGTTCATCACATTCAGTATGCTTATTTTCTGTGCTGTATGGATCACATTTATTCCAGCTTATGTCAGTTCTCCAGGAAAATTCACAGTAGCTGTGGAAATATTTGCTATCTTAGCCTCTAGTTTTGGCTTACTTCTCTGCATATTTGCACCTAAATGTTACATAATCATATGTAAGCCTGAACAAAATACAAAGCAACATGTCATGGGAAAAACATCTTTAAAGGTTCAATAACCAGAAAGTAAAGTTTTTTTTTTTGTAGTCAAGATAGTAAGGGAGAACATATGGTGTAGATTTTTTATAACTTGAACAGCATACCATGGTACTAGCAATCTCAATCTTAGTGCTTAATTCCAAAAGAAAGCATAATGTGATGAATCATACACTTAAAATACAATATTTGGATAAAATAAACAACGATTTATAGTGTACATTTTGGGGTATTTAAAGCTAAACAGCACTGAATCTAATTAGGAGTGAATAGGAGGGTTTGGAAATACAGCATATTGAAGATGTTTATCAAAACTTACAATCAAAAGATGATAATTTCTCAGTATCCCTAGTTACATAATTTAGTTTAATCTAGTTGTTATAAATGCATATGTGCTTTGAATTGATGCAATTTAACATCAGTGCTAATATATACCACATACAGAAACCTTTTGGCATTTATCAAAATTTGACACTCTGGCTGTTGCTTATTCAGAAAAAAATGTACTACAAAAAAGAAACCAAATAAATCACACAATAAAATTTGATAATATTTCAGGGCTGCTCCTGTTGTAATTTAACTTGAACTTTTTGTATCATAAGATGATCAGAGTCTGATACATGTACAAAGTAAAAAGTTACAAGATACATTTATTTATTTTATGATGCACTTTTTTAAATAGACTTACATTACCTGCCTGACAAAAGTCTTGTCATTGATCCCAGTTGTAAGAACAACAAATAATAACTTGACTTCTAGTTGTTCTTTAGAAAAGTAACTAAAGACAGTTTTTTTTCTGATAAATCCTCTGTTGAACTGCATCTCATTCACCACAAATAGTGCAGAAGACCTATTGGAACCCGCATGAAGCCAAGAATCTCACAGAAATCATACAAGTTTGGTGAAGGAAAAATCATGGTTTGGGGTTAAATTAAGTATGGGGTTGTATGAGAGATCTGCAGAGTGGATGGCAACAAAAACAGCTTGAGGTACCAAGACATTTGTGTTGCCCATTACATTAAAAACGACAGGAGAGGGCAAATTCTTCCACAGGAAAGGACTCCTTCTTACACTTCAGCCTCTACATCAAAGTTCCTGATTGTGAAGAAGGTCAATGTGCACCAGGATTGGCCAGCCCTTTCATCAGATATAAACATTATTATTAACATTATTATTAAGATGATGGAGGATTTGAGGTGAGTCTAAAAAATCTTGTTGAACTATGGGAGTCCTGAAAGAACGCTTTCTGTGCCATTCCAGATGACTTTATTAATAAGTGATTTGAGTCAATCCAGAGATGTATGGATGCAGTCCTCCAAGCTCACGGGAGTCATACACAATATTAATTAATTTTCCACTGCACCAGAACTTTTTATTCTATACTGTAAATTATTTATGTTAAATGACAAGACTTATGTCTGAGCAAAGTCAGACCTTACTCTCCAAATTAAATAATTAAAAATTAAGGTATGACATATTTTATTTTGGCAAAATAAGTCTTTAATATAAGCCACTTCTGATACCAAATGATCAACTAGAAGTCAAGTTATTATTCGTTGTTCTAAAAATTGGAGAGGCAGGAGGGCTTTATTCAGGCAGTGTACTTTCCTATTATACAATAGGCAAAAACTAAAAATGAGACAATAAATAAACAATAAATGTAAAATTTCTTTCTAGCATTTTTTTTAAGGGGACACAAATATTACAATAAAGATATGTCCCCGCAGTTAAAAATGGTTTTATCATTATAACTATTATTATTATTATTATTATTATAGCATGGGGACTACGTCATTATGATTATTTTTCTCAGTTTTTATCAGTTTCAATGACAAAGCTAATTTTTTTTCAAAACTATTAATTGCATTGTTTGTTGTGTTGTTTACAGTCAACAGACTGACTCATGAAGCAGAATAAATGCAGGAAAAGAAATTTTCCATACTCATAATATCTTGTTTACATTACACTTGTTAACTTGACCGATCATATTGTAAATCAGTGAGCCTGTGAAGTTCATCTGCTAAACAGCTACAACTCCAAAAACATTAAAAAAAAAAAAAAATTGTTCACCCCCAAAAGAATAGTCATTGTCCCTTCAATGAAAGCACAACATCCTTACCTGACACTGTACATCTGACTAGCCCTGCTCTGCCTGCTCCTCAATCATTTATTTCTCCTTTGCCAGTGATTGATATTGTGACATTAGTATTTTCATAAGCCATCATTCTGAAAGCCAAATTGTAAACTTTTTGTACTTAGCATTTGGCTGCATTGAAAAAGTTATCTTGTGTCCATTTTCTTTGTCATTTTATCTAATGCATGACACTGCAAGTTTATTTATACTGTAGCACATTTTATACAATGGTAATTCAAAGTGCTTTACATAAAGAATGCAAAACTTTCATTAAAATAACTACAACAATAAAAAAAGAATTAAAAAAGGTTAACACTTTAATTTCAAATTAATTGAGTCACTTAATAACAGAATAGAAACTGATCATACAAAAAATACAGTGGGGTTAGTCTGGACGTCGCACAGTGCTCATTTAGCAAACACACAGCTAAAATATGTTAATTGTGGTCGTTAATGTTAGGTTAATATTATGGCAAGTAGCCACAAATAAAACAATGCATGGGAAACGGCTTTGGCGTTGCAACAAGCGAACGCTAACGTTAACTAAGTAAGTCATTTTTACCACCAATACAGCAGATACAATCAGCATTTTTGCAGCAACTAATTAATGAATGTGTCTGTATTAACTACATTGAAGAGAATTTTCAAAGTGGGCGATTTTGCACGCGATCTAAATAGCATAGGGGGTATGGTTGGGTATCTCGCGAGAACTGGAGAACGGGGGTAGTAGTATAGAAAATGCACACTTCGGGTTAGGGAGCCTGGCGCAGCAAGCGTTTTTGTCACCGAGCTTAATTTCCTCCTAATTAACCGGGGTAACCAGTAACCGGGGGTAAACTCCACTCGAGGATATAATCTTGAGAATGTGTTAGGTGTCGACCAGCCTGCAGTTCTACATAATCTATTTAAGAGGTGCTGCATACTCATGCCGAAAAGGAGGCAAATATATTATTAGTATTATTAATTGTGCTCTTACTCCCAGGGGACACAGCTCGCCCTGGCACATGAAGCGAGCGGCGATTAATATTGAACGAGCTGTAGTCGGTGGAAAAACGGATTTCCCTCTCCTCTATCTTGACGGGTGATCTCCTTGACACTTTGAGAATTAGATCCCTGTCTGTGTATCTTCATCTTCATGATGACCGTTCACGGCCTGCCCGGGTTGATGGGTCCGATGCGATGAGCTCTCATGATCTCCGGTTTTAGATCAGCCAATGACGGGAACCATTTTGGAAGTGAGTCCGCAATAAAGGTTGTGAGGTTCGAATTCTCTGCATTTTCGGGTAGGTTCGTTATACGAACATTCACACAGCGACTCTGATCTTCTAAGTCGGCCAATTTTTCCTCATGAGAAGCCATTTTTGTGACGCATTTCTCATAGTTCTTCTCCATCATAGAGACGTGATTGTTCAGAATGGAACATCTATCTCGCAGTTCTCTTACCCCACTGGAGCAGTTGGAAAGTTCTTTCTGAATGTCATCAAGCCTTTCTTGCAGAGTTTTAAATTGAGATTCAATAAACACTTGTTGCTTTTCCATGGCTGATGAAATCATGGCCGCGAGGGATTCCTCCATCTTGTCAGTTTCGGTTGATTGTTCGCGATTTACTTGCTTGCCAGCCGATTTTCCATGACGTAAGGACATCTTATTGTTCATAAACACTTTTTGAAAAAGTTTGGCCTAATAACAAAGTAAATATATAAATAAGTTCAATGAAAACGAGTGAGGTTGACGGAGGTAGAAAACTAAGCTGCCATCATGCTTACAGGTCACGTGAAACCCTGAATCCTAAGCCTCCTGATTCCAGCGCGATCAACAGAGCTGTCTTAAGGACAGAAAACTTATCTTATATAGATACTGATCGAGTGGCATAATGGATCCTATCATTACCGCTGGGGCTAGAAAAATCCCAAGAGGGTGAGAGAGGGGGTTAGGAAGAAAACAAAACACTAATCTTGCATATCCCGGGGTTTTCTCAGAGAATTCCCACACAATGAATAGACTCCACTATAGAACATAGGCATGCCTAATAGGGTGCTTTAGCCTGAGTGACGGTGTTACCCGTCGCACTGATAGGTCACCCAAGTCCACCGCGCTCTGTTTAGAAACCATCCAAGGAGGTTCCACAGCCCTACACGGGTGCCAAAGGGTGCCCGTCCCATAAAAAGAAAGTGCTTTTTCCGGGGAATTCATAAGGAAGGGCCATTACGGGGAGTGTGAGTCCGGAAACTCAGTTCCGCTTAGGCCAGAGAGGTGCAACGAGTAAGACCTGTCTTCGTCTTCCCGACCTTGCACAGTGTCTGTGCGAGCAGTCTCACTGGGGAAAAGAAAACGCTTGTTGCCTTACCTGTGGCCAGCTGAGAGCCAGCGCCTTTGTGCAGAGCAGGGAAAGCAGCCAGCGATGGGCCGCTCGGGAGAAACAATAGGTTGGCCTGGGCTTCTCTGAAACATGCCCATGACAGCTGGAACGTACCGGGGTGGAGTTTCTGTTCTCCCGGAAACATAATGCTCCTGAGAGCATGTAAGTTGGCATGAAGAGTTTGTACGGGATATGAATGGCGCACAGCTTTTTAACCATGGTTGATGTATGCTATCGCAGCCGTGTTGGCCATCCTAACCAACAAGTATTTCCCCCTTACGCTTTGGTAGGGACCAGCGGAAAGCGAGAAGCAATGCCAGCAGCTCCAGGCAGTTGAAATGCCAATGCAATCAGGGTCAGGTTTATAAACCTGCAGCTGCATGCTCAATACACACAGCCTGCCAGCCCATACTGGAAGCAACTGTCAAAATAACAGCATACACTTGTTCTAAGGGTCCATCTAGGGGCTGAGGGTGTGGAAACACAGCGTGGTGTTGTACACCCGGGTCGTCTCCGTGCACCATGCCCATCTGGGGACCCGATCGTGAAGCCCAACAGGCCGAGGTGCCGGAGCACCAGGTCCCTGTGCATAATCGATCAGTTCAGAGAACTAAAAAATAATGACAGTCAATGAATGATCAAAAATGCAGATGCACATGCACCAAAGAGGCACAGGGCAATCATCCACGCATGGAAACTGGGAGAGCCCGAATGGGTGACTGTTACTACTATGCTCGGCCTTCGTCACACACCAGAAAAATCCCAGTATAAGGAGGGAGTGAGCGAGACATGGAGTGAGTGTCCTTCAGGTCTATGGCTGCAACCAATCTAAAGTACGGACACATTGGGTAATGCATTTCTGCATGAGCAACTCGATCAGCATCCTGAACAGATGACAGATCAAAACATACCAACCAGTGGAATGGACTGTGAAGGTGCAGCATTTTGGAGCTGCGGGAGGAGCGCACTCGACGAGGAACAGCCAGCATGGACGGGTCTAATGGGAAGAGCAGTTTTCTGAGCTCACCAAGAGCTGAATTGCTTCAACGAGCACGGCTGATCTTTCACCACCGAGACTCCTGGGTAAAATCCCCTTATGTTGTCTCAGAGAAGGCCTGCCTGGGATATGGGCACACTATGAAAACGTCATTTGTCAGTGC